GGACCAACCCCCCGCAGGGGGTTGTCCGTGTGCTCCATTCTCGGTTCCCCGATCGAACTTTCGAGGCCATCAAGTGTCTGCGGAACAAGAACCCCCGCTATAAGGAGGTTCTTGCGGCTCTTGAGGTTGAGGAGGTAGACGAGGAACTACCCACGGTAACACCTAGCGAACAACCCCATACCTCTGCTCAGGCAGATGGTTTATGGAGGGACCAGCTCCAACGGGCGATTAATATCGAACACCTTGATGTTGATGACCTGGACTGGGTGGCTGATGGTTGTGCTGCTGAGGATATTCGGAAGAAACTCGATGAGTTGTTTGCGTCATGGGTCGGACACCTTGTGCGTGGTGAGCGGGCTCCTGCTAGGAGTCATCAGCCCACGACAGGTGCTGCGAACCCTAATCGTGAGTTAGATCCCCGAAGGCGTAGACGAGCGCAATACAGTGCAATTCAACACTTGTATGGCCGTAAACCATCTGCGGCCGCTCATAAGGTGCTGGACGGGTCCTGGGAGTGTGATGACCCTTGTCCGACGCCTACTCTAGAGGACTTCAGAACGGCCTGGCAGCCTATCTTTGAGACTCCATCAATCAAAGATAACCGACGACCGGCATGTGTTGGACAGGTGAAGTGGGAAATTGTTAGTCCGGTTACACCTGGTGAGCTTGAACAGGTGTTAACCGAGGGTGCCTCTTCGGCACCTGGCCCGGATGGAGTGAAGTTGAAGGATGTCATTGGACTTGGGATTGGAGAGCTTTGTAGCCACTTTAATTTGTGGTTACTTTGTGGAAGTCAGCCCAGCGCCATGTGCGTGGGTCGTACGATCTACATCCCAAAGGGCTCCGAGTCTAGTGATGCGCTGAAGTATCGCCCAATAACCATTGCCTCTCATATCTTACGAGTCTTTCATAAGATCATGGCTCGAAGATTTGATGCGTTCCTGCCTCTGAAGTACACCCAGAAGGGGTTCAGGAGTGGTGATGGGATCGCTCAACACATACTGTCGCTGCAGGCCATCATTGATGGTGCTAAGCGCCAGCGAAAGCCGTTTAACTTGGTTTTCCTTGATGTGCGTAAGGCTTTTGATTCGGTCAGTCACGACACCATTGTTTTGGCAATGCGTCGTCTTGGCTGTCCAGATCCGTTCCTTTCGTATATCCGTGACCTGTATTTAAGATCTAGTACAGTGATTGAGCATAATGGAGAAAGAAGCGCTCCGATCTTCACTCGCAGAGGGGTCAAACAAGGTGACCCTCTTTCACCGTTCATGTTCAATGCCGTGATAGACTGGGCTTTTTCATCACTTGACGACCATGTAGGGTTTTCGTTCGGACATGTTAGGGTGAATAACCTCGGATATGCGGACGACGTCGCCTTGCTAAGTGATACGCGGGCTGGCCTGCGATCACAATTAGGAAAGTTCGAGTCGCACCTCGCTAAGGGCGGCTTGACAATCAGTGCGGGCACTGAGGGTAAATCTTCCTCCCTCAGCATTGTGGTTGATGGGAAAGCAAAGCGATGGGTTGTTAACCAAACCCCGTTCCTGGCGACTAACGAAGGCATTATTCCATCTCTATCTGCCTCTGGGGAGTACAGATACCTAGGTATTATGTTGGGATCGGGTGGGGCAAAGGTGCGTAGTTCCTTGCGGGCAGAATTATTGCAAGGGCTACAAAACATCACTCGGGCACCTCTTAAGCCCCACCAGAGGCTGCGGATCCTACGCAATTTTTTGCTGCCGAAGTATCTGCACGAACTGGTGTTGGCGCCAGTGGCCGATGGTTGGCTGAATTGGCTCGATACTACTATTAGGGCCAATGTAATTATAAAACACAATAATACCTTTTCTTAAGTAAGTTCTTCGAAACGCATTAATAAGAGAAGATTTACCGACGTTTGGCAAGCCACACACTAGCAAATGATAAGCTTGGTCAGGATTCTGAAATGACACACAAACCTGGATATAGATTGGGTGTGGTATATATAGTTTAAATAGTCAGCTTCTGTTGCAGTACATAACGTCATATTTAGGATATGTTAACTTAAAGGTTTCAAATCCTGCTACTGTTATACTTAATTTCAGATTTTTGCCCCATCCTGGACCTAACGAAAGTTTCAAATTTCTGACCAACTCCAAAATTTCAGAGTTCTTTGCCCACTGTGGGCTTATCAAAAAATTCTTATTTTTGGCCACCTCCAAAATCTCAGGTTTTTTGCCTAACCCGGGCCTGTTGAAAAGTTCTGCATGCATGAATATCTAGGTCTAATATTTTTCTCCATATCGAAGTCGTGTACGTATTTACGAACCCTCCGTCTAAAAACTCCTTCATATTCCGCAATTTGTATTGAATCAAGCACTTGTTGAACTATCTAAAACAGAAAAACACGAGAGGCAATGTTATAGTATATATAAGTTAAAAATTAAACTGAAACACTGCAATTGACACTTTTATATGAATTGGCTACTTATATAAAGAGAAACGCCAGAAAAGCCACTCTAAAACGTGACCTTAACTTTATTAAGTTTTTAATTTGCAAAGGATTTCCTGCAACTTTTTATGGGTTTCTTCGTTTTACGAGTATTTCCAAATAATCACTTAGTAAATACACGTATAACTTAGTCTTAGGGCTTAATATTTTCAAATTCAGCATGGGGATCACTTTCAGCTTTATATTACTTGAAGTATAGAACATTGAATCATTCAACCTCGTTGAATCACTGTACGCCTATACACCTATACTGCTAAGGCCTTTTGGCTTTTTGAGGTTCACCTGACTTAAACACTACTCAGATTTGCGTTCCTTAACATTTAAAAATATTTATACCCTTCTTATACTCTTCTGTTTTACGTCTTTGCTGTTTAAAAAGACTGGTCTAATTCCATTTCTTTCCAAAGACTTTGAAATACTCTAAGAAAGTATAAACAGAGGTGATGTGTCGAAATAACAGGTAGTCCGAGATGGAGTCAAATTAGGGGGACGGGTTTTAACAGAATTCATTAGGAGTAGCAGAACCACAAATTCTGCAGGAAATATGAGTCAGTGTCACCAAATATACACGTTTAACTTTCATGTCCAGTTTGACGTACTGTATATGGCACCAGTTGCAATTTCCAGCTGAGATGATAATGTATTCACCAAAGGTGCTGCAGCTCAACTTATTCAGCACATGATTCAACTTGGTCAACATAATACATCTTTTCGATGATTACGTCATGACCACTTTCTTGGCCTGGGAGCCTCACTGATGCATGGCGATTGGCTATAACTGTTTCTGAGAATGAGGCTCCCAGGCCAAGGAGAGAATGACGAATTATCGAAATGGTGTATTGACACTTTGAGTATTAACGTTCGTCAGCTGGAGAAAGTAGTTTTAATATTTTGGTAAATTGACTGTCAACCTTTTGAAATCATTGTTTGAAACGCAAATCACGCATGTATATATTAATTAGGCTATTGTTAGGCTAAACAACGAAAAATATATTAGAGAAATAATGTACCTACACAAGGTTGGGGCTTCAATTAGCATTTAATTCAGTTTACAATGTGAGTACATACTAAAGATAATCTTAACAATTCAATGTCTGCAAATTTACCCCTCTTCTTGCTCCTTCACCAAGATCTGCCTTGTTTAAAACGAGAACATGAGGTCGACTACCAAAATTTCTCACAAACTTTTCATTTCTTCCACTGTATGGAATCTATAAAGCCCAGATCAAACGTTCAATCATCTCTTTCTCGTTGCATGTGTAGACTAATGTTTGTCATGCCTAATGTAGTAGGTGGGTTTCTTGTAGATGGAATTTTCGAACCGAATTTATATATACATTTTTAGACTTATCCAGGAGCAGTTGCGAAAAAATTCAACTACGTATGCGGCCCTGCATGCGATTCCAGTGCAGCACTCTATAACCAACTGAGCAATATACAGAGTCCAGATGCTGTATATATGGAGTGCTACCAGTAAAAGTTAATTTAACGTCTACTGGTATCACTCCATATATACTGTGGCGTAGTCAGAACGATAACGGGGGTTTTTATGGTATGTGAACACGAATAAATGAATATGGGCCCCCGATTATCGTTCTGGCTACGCCACTTCGTATATACAGCATCTGGACTCTGTATATAGCTCACTGGTTATAGTTAGATGGGTATACATATCGCCGGAGATTTTTGGGCATCTCGTTTGATAAAACTAATAGTAGATGGGTTCTTGTAGAGAACGCAAATTTATATAGTACGTTTTTCGACCTAACCAGGAGCAGTGGTGATCGAAAAATGCAACTGTGCGCCCTCTGTGCGCCCTCTGTGCGCCCTCTGTGCGCCCTCTGTGCGCCCTCTGTGCGCCCTCTGTGCGCCCTCTGTGCGCCCTCTGTGCGCCCTCTGTGCGCCCTCTGTGCGCCCTCTGTGCGCCCTCTGTGCGCCCTCTGTGCGCCCTCTGGCAGGAATCGAACCTGCGGCCCTGTGATTATTGTAATATATTATGTCATTGGCAAACTTGTGGCACATACTCTGGCATCATGCACTTCAAGAATACAGTCACACTTTGCAAGTTTTGATTCCATTATACGTAAACCTAAAAAATAGAGAAATCTATTATAAACTAATTATATATAGTGTAGTCTGACTGCATTATGCTATACATCGATCTCGATTACTACATCCTCACATATATTTCATCATCATATATTTCATCAATTAAACATCCTTTCCCATGCAGTTATTATTTAGCTCAATGAGCATGAATAAAGTGGTTTTCCGTGCAGGGTAGCGCCATCCATGCACGTACGCGGGATGTTGCGAGACTTTCGATTTTGGAAAGCGTAATATTTCGAAAAAGTGTTTTATACAATAACTCACATGTCTACAGTGAAACAACGTTTAACTTTATTAAATTAACTTTTATATTATAACTTTATTCATGTTTCTAATAACTTGTGACTTGTCTCTCGTTTAATATACAGTCAACTTCACAGGAGCGTTAAAATGTTTTCATTGCCCGACATTTTAAAAAACCCCGCGCGAAGAAAATAATTGCCCGACATTTTAAAAAAACCTGCGCATTTAAATTTTCCATGCATGATTGTCTGATCCTGTACAGGTATTGACCAATCAAATTGCCAACCTCCCAAGCCAGTCTCGCTTCCCTCCCTAACAGCGGAAGTAGAGAGCCTGGCTTGCGAAGTTGTCAAATTGCATGTTTCACTGTATATAGTTACTATAAAAACCTTTTTGCTAGCAAAACAGTGACAACATCTTGACAAACTCCCTCGAAACTTTTTTATGCAAATATTAAAAAGTGTGAATTTTACCATTGAAACTTGTGGGGACTGGGCACGGCTTTTGTAACTATGCGGATTTATCAATGTTACATTGTGAAGTCCTTTACTGTTTAATATTTAAATACTCGCTGGGGCTCTGTGCCCAGGCGAGTATCTACCAACTGAGCTACAAGGTCAAGTCGGTTCGAGTTCTCTCTCCTCCGCAGAGGCTTCTGTTGGCTAATTGATTAGTATTGAGATACATTTCACTACATGCACTTTACATGGCGGATCTTGGAACGCGAGCGGAAGCCAACTAAAGCCTCTGCGGAGGAGAGAGGTTCGAGTTGGTGATATTTCGGAACTGAGTCTAGTTCCTTCGATATCAATGTATTCTATGATACGATACTTTTTGTGTGTGTTGGTGTTATGTACTCAGGTGAATATGTTTGCGATGTTACTCTGAGTGTGCATCCACACCGGGCAAGCTGAAACGTCTGTCTGACAATACCCTGGTTGACAATACCCAGAGGTTCCTCCGCCCTATTCTCCTTCGTATTTATTTCTCAATTTATAATACGGTGGTACAAGTCTGACCACGGTGGAATTGAAATCGAACCCATTGGACTAGTATCCCAAAGGTCGCGATTGTATAGTACTAAACATATGCGTATCAGCCCCAGCGAGTTAACGCTCTTGCGAGCGTCTTGACTTGTTAACTTTATTTTGCCGTGACTTTTTATTTTGCCCTGAGGCCTGAGTTAATTTTGTTTTGACGTGAGTTAACTTTATTCTCCCATGAGTTTATTTTGTTTTGCCGTTGCAGTTAATTTTATTTTGCCGTGACACAGTTACTTTCGCTGTGACACTTGTGGCACAGATTATAGATCATACGATCTATACGTATGATCTATAATCTGTGCTTGTGGGCCACATTATTTTATAGCGCCAAAACTATTAAAACTCGCACCGCCGTTGGTTTCTAGTATTGATACAAAAGGTACAAACCCAAAGCTTTATATTTTTATATTTTATACTGTTTTGTTTCCTTTTTTGACGATAGTTGATGAGAAAATATTCTTGTCTAAAGCTTGGTTCGATCGTCTATAGAGGAATGTGCATAAGTTTGGCTAGGGCTAGTCAGCCTAGGGCTAGTATTTCGTATTTGTTTATGAATCCTATTAATAATTATTTTAAATTTCCTTAGGCCTGGATATAAAGTTTCTAAAATCTTGCACATGGTGTATAATTTCTTGCAATGAATACAGAATATAGCCTTCTGGAAAGTATCTCACTAATTTGGCCGTACAAAGCCTAACAAAAAGGATGGCCAAGGAGATGTCAGTATGATCGATTTAGCTAGGATATATGAAACGTTGGATAGTAATATACCATAAACCTCTGAATATAACTCCCTGGCCCCTACCCCGGAGAAGCCCCCTGTGTATAATCCCACGATATTCACTAACACTCAGGCCATTCCGAACTTAAGCCCCCTGAATATAAGCCCCTCTGTGTCCAAGCCTGTTAGTTAATTAGCACAGCGACAGCAATTCCAACAGCTCAGACGAGTGACAATAATTAGATTACAGTATTGTAATGTGTAGATTATACACTGTGTGTTTGTCCTGGGTACGAGGTTGTATGTTTGTATTTCTTTTTGTTCACATTTGACAATAATTAGATACAATTATTAGATGACAATTAGATACAATTATTACATAATAATTAGATGAGTGACAATAATTAGATTACAGCATTGTAATGTATAGATTATACACTGTATGTTTGTCCTGGGTACGAGGTTGTATGTTTGTATTTCTTTTCACGGTTTACACATACAATAAATATTAATACTAACATAAAATTTTGTCGGTACATAAGCCCCCCCCCTTTGTAATTAAGCCCTCCCATGTGTAAGCCCATATTCATGGTATAGTTGCATGTGAGTTCCACTAAAATTTGAAATTGAACCCACTAGACTAGTATCCCAAAGGTCGCGGTTGTAGTACCATCTAACATGCGTATCACTATAGCCCCGGCGAGTTAACACTCTTCCAAGTGTCTTGTTGAAGTTAAAATATTATCAACATCCTAACTTTATAACCAATTAAAATTATTGGTATTCCAGTGCACCTCTACTAATTTTACACACAACCACATCAGCAATGCTGTAAATATTATTGTGGATAAACATAAATGAAAAAATCATATAGAATCTTATACTGGGAATTCCTATACAGTAGGAATGGGCAAATTAAAATCTCCAATCCTGGCAAAAATTATGTACCAATGGAAAACCCAGCTAGGACAGTCTCTGACTCCTTTGCAGTGTGCATATAGCATAGCCTCTCCCCTCCAAAGTTTGAATATAGGGCTCTCAAAATTTAAATTGACTTGCCATACATTTCTGTGAATTCTGTCTGAATTTTGTACACTAATCTGTATACACCTCCCTATGACCAGGGGGCATGGGTAAAGAGCATTGGCCCATCACCAAATGGACATGTAGACCTGGCACAAAAATTTCTTCTTGCTTTCACCGAAAAAGTTGCATTGTGCCCTACTTTACTACTTTACTCTGTCTAACACTAGGCAGATTTCACTCATCAAGGACAAGGGGAGAGTCACCCTGCGCTCAATGTTAATCAGACTATACCTGCCCATGGATCAGTTAAACCATTAAAGCTCAAGATTCTCCCTTGCATTTGGGTGCATGCAAAGCAGTTTAATGGGTTAATGTACCAGGTGTCCCAAAAAAACTTGCACTGTTTGATTACATAAGGTAAAAACTATAAATTAAAACTATGACACTCAAATAAGTTTTATTGTATTGAGGAAAGGCTAACTTAGATCTTGATACAGCCCTAAAAACGTCATGTAATATTATGTGAGATAGAAATGCTTGAATTTGGTGCATGCTTTAAAAATGAGTTAAAAATCAAGAAACAGTCGGCTGATCAAATTTATATAAAAATAATTGCCATTTAGGCCTGACATAAAAAAAATTACTTGTTTAGCGTCCTCCCATTTTAATTTTTCTAGGTCGGGCGGGCAGGGTTTTTTTTTTCTTCGTAAAATGCAACACAAAATTCTGCTAAATGCAGGAAATCCAGTATACTACCACAGTCAAAACTCACTTTAATTCTTTCAAAATCCGTTCATGTTTTTTAATACCGTTCATGTTTTTAATAAAACAGAAAATTACCAATTGGCGGTCACACACAAACACTTTACCTGCGAACAGGCATATTCTGGGAAGGAAATACTTTGTGTAAACGCATTACATAGCTCCCAGAAGAATAAAATCACCATTTTTTCAAGTAAAACGGTCTTTTTTATAGAGAGTTGTTGCACTAAACTGTCTAAACTCGGACGGATTTTGAAAAAAAAAATGGAGGTCAGGGACTTTTATCAGGTCGGGCGGGACGCTAAACAAGTAATTTTTTTATGTGGCCTTAATTTCCACAAAAATTAACAATTTCAATTAACATTATTTGCAACTTAAATTTAATTTTGGATAATATGTCCTAGTAAGTTAGCCTTTTGTGTTTCTTGGGAAACGAAATAAGCATGATCGAAACATTTAAAAATGTTCGACAGCATATTTGACGTCCTTAGGGAGTTCGTATTATAAAGTTGGTCTTCGAATAAGCTAGCCTTTGCTTTCTGAATATGCCTCGATTAACAAAAGATCAAAGCGTTTGGGTTTTAATGATTTCCTGTGCAATTATGTTTTTCATTCATTCTTTTGACCACAATAAAACTATATATATCAAGTTTAACCAAATAATATTTGATAAGCAATTTTATGCAAATTTTTTACATTGTCAAATATGCTTATATTCGATTTAAAACATCGATAGCTCAGTCAATGTTGCACAGACATTCATTTGTTATTTATCAAAATCTAAGTTAGCCCTTTCTGAATACGATAAAACTTATTTGAGTGTAATAGCTTTTATAGTTTTTAAGTTACATTAAGTCAAACAGCACATGTTTTTTTTGGACACCCGTATACAAAATTATATATTAATATTATCAATATTCAATGCCAAACTGTGTTTCTTGTTGTGCGTGTGGAAGATCTTCGTATGATGTAACAATTATTTTATTTCCAACCAAAATTATAGGTGGACTTTTTTGGTCTTCCACACACTTTGCAAAGAATACAGTTCTGAACTGAAGTCAATGGGCTCTGGGTGCATTCCATGTAAACTCTATGCCGAAGATACACCAGTATTAACTATAGATAGTATTGTAATTTTCCAAACTCATGCCAGATATCTTCACACTTTTTTGCACAGAATGCACCCTGGTGGACCGGCTGGGATTGGTGCCAGTCAGCATTCCATGTGGGCCACGCCTCAGACCAGTTAAAATTCATGTGATATATTGGTTGACGCCAAACAAACCTTTAGCCATATGCCCTGGATACCATTTGATAAATGCACTTGGATGAAAATCTAGCGGAAATTTAAAAGCAACACGAAAATTGCCACTTGCCAGCCAAACTTCACTTCTACTCAAATATGGTCTGACTGCCATATTGTTGCCAAGAAGTCTCAAATCTCTTGATCCATCATGTCTGATTAAAAACTTGACAGTGGTATCAAAGTTTGGAAAGATAATGTGAAAACAGAGCCATTTTAGTTAAGAAAAAAACCATGATTGGATTTTATATACATATATAAAAAATATGTAAATCCAATTTTAATTTATATCTGTTGTTCATTCACTTCATTGGTTTGTGCACAGTTGGTGCTTCCACAGTATGGTTGCAATTTCCAAATCCAAATTCCCAGTCCATGTTCCATAACATCAGAAAAATAATTAAAATACTTTAAAATACTGAGAACTGTTAGTTAATTAAGCTTGGCTGGTAAAATAGTGTCATTTATTCATCTATTTTACTCATTCTGTTCATTTTGCTTGAAGTTTTCACGAAAATCTTCGAAAATCGGGCTAGATCAATGGAAATCTGCCAAACGCGGCTGGAAGCACTGAAATTCGAATTTATAATCAGCTAATCAGAATTACTAATCAGCTAATCAGCATAATAACTTCTATGCATAATTTTGGTTTTTGGCGTCCTTGGAAACGTACAATATTTGAATTATTTCTTGGTGCTCTTATAATTTAGTATTAAAATGAATTCATTAAATAAACGGTAAATACAATGGTAAATAATAATTCAATTAAACAGTGACAAAGAAATATTTCATGATACAGGAATTGATAGCTATGATTGAAAACGAAATGAAAGGTACGTGAGTTGATATCATATTATTTATCAATATTTAACACTGATATTGAGTATGCTAGGTGGCTGAAAGTGGGTAACACTGCTTTTACCGCATAGTAGTTATCTTAACCTGTGAACTTCTGTAGATTAAACTGTACAAAAACATAAAATCAACTTCGCCATTTCAAGCAAGTAGAAAGGTGCCAAGGACCTTTGCTTGAAAGTTGAAATGTTGTGATCATAGTTTGTAGTCGCCGATATAATGCAGCTATCAATGTTTCCCCCTGAGGGGGGGGGGGGGCGGCAACCCAGGGGAATTTTGACATTTTTAAAATTTTGTAGTCGAAATCCCCACTATTGGGCAAGGAACAGTGGTGCCGCCAGAGGCGCCAGAATATCGATAATTGGGGGGGCAGATATTCATATATTCGTGTTCACAGACTGTAAAAACAATCGATTTCAAAAGAAATTAATTGGGCAGAACACGAATATCTGAATTATCGATATTCCGGCGCCTCTGGGCGCCGCCAGCTCAATAATTGGGGGGGGGGGGGAATATTCATATCTTCATGTTCTGCATTATTAACTTCTTTTGAAATCGATTGTTTTTATGGTCTGTGCACACAAATATATGAATATTCGCCCCCCCCC